ATGAAAGTTGTTATTATAATTATTATTATTTACACGGGTCTGGAGCAAGATCTTTTTGTGCCACATTTATTATAGAAAATTATGAGAATATGCGAATCAAATTATTTTCATTTACAAAGCAGTTAAAAAAACAATTGGTTCACAAAGATATTTCTAGTTGTAGAAGCAAAATGAAAATAATATAAATTTTATTTTAATTTATTAAACAAACTATTAAATATCTATTATATATGTATATAAAATTATATGTATGTAATGTTATTGTTGACATTATCATATTATTAAATGTCATGCAAAATTCAATAAATTATTTTGCAAACATCATATATTAATCTTTCAACATTTCGCCAAGTTGATTCGGAATAATAATTAAATTCCACGAAGTTGACTAAAGAGGAGTAAAAGAGGAAATAAGAAAAAGTTGTCTAGAAATGAGATCTATAAAGGAGTTGTGCCTCGAGCTTCTGAACTGTCCGCAACAGGTACACAGGTATACTGTGGCTATGAACAGACACATTTCCCATTATCACGCCCATTTCTCTATTATTTCCAACTTCACTATCTAGCAACATGGTTTGCCATATGTATATAATTTTGATTTAATTTTAACAATAAACACGGTATTTCTTGACAAATATCAAAATATTAAACTAAACAGAAAAAAGTATTATTAAATTAATATTTAATTATAATTAAATTTTAATTTCATTTTACATTCACATTCACAAAATAATTCGATGATAATAATAATAATTCAGAGTTAACATCGTTATCGCAAGCAACACGTAAATGAGCACGTAGTCTATAATTATGCAACTTGTGCATTACTTGTAATTAAATCGCGCTTCTTACAAATTGTTGAATACCAATATTTTTAATTAGCTTCAAGCTATCATTTTCAAGCGTTTGTATTTTTCTTTTTGTTTTTGAAAAGGATTTCAAACATATTTAATTTGCAAAATTTTGCTTAAGTACTCTTAAAAAACTTTTACTCAAATTTAAAACTTCTTTAGTATATTTAATTATATTTATCAATATCATATTTAAAACATTATACAGGCGTATTCATAAATTCAGAAAGTGATAAATTAAAGAATTAAAACACTAAAACAAAAATTTAATAATAAAATACAATTCTTCCGAATTTTCATAAAGGAAAGAAAATTTATGCATCCATGAATTGATCATAATCCATCATAACAGATCATAACTCATTATAACTAATTATTATGTGCAAGCGAAACCTTTAACCGGATTACTACTAGAGCTCTATCTTGACGTAAACGAGATTCTCCTTAACTAGTTTGTCAGAGCATTAACAGATAATCTCGCTGCACTCGAGAATTCAATAACGTTGATCATTTAAATGACGACGTCATTGAATTCTCGTCGCGTCTTTCGTCTATGTCATCTCGTTAAAGTCACGTTTATACAAACGTAGATTTGCACGTCAATCAATATACGATAGCTCGGAATGACCATCGATTCGTCGGATGTAGGATTGATATTTGATGACTGCCAAAATTAAAAACCCTGACTGACTCGACCACAAGACATTGACGAGTGAAGCTTTAACTCGATTTATCTCAAATATATGACTTTTTTGACTCTTTGTCAACTGCGATGATTTCATTCGATCGTACAATTCGTATTCGCTGAATCATTGATATTGTTCCTACGAGTTATTGTGAACTAGCATTAGTTTTCTGAAAATTCAAATAATATTTACTTGAATACAAAAGCAAATTATATTCACCATAAAGGTAACAAATATAAATACTATCTAGAGAGAGAGATTATAACATTATAAATTTTCTGTAAGATAGAGCAGGTTTCCAAATTTCAACTTTAATATACAAATTTACGACAGCAAACAATATCTCTTTGCAATGACGGGCTTTATACAACTACAATCATGATTACTTTTTGAGAGCACAATTTTCAAATATTCAATATGTGCTGTTCAGAAACATAAACACTATTACAAATGGAAAAAGCTCTATTCTATTACCATAACAGAGAATATTATTTTTCACAAATATTTTTTATTTCTATAATCTATATCTTTTATTCTTTACACTACATTGAATCGCTAGAAAGTTAGCGATTAATTAATGATTACGAAAAGCTGTGTCTCTATCTAAAATCATTAAAATTTATTGACTTGCTGAATGTTCCCTCACGATTCGAGCATGCGAAAGGACAGCGGGATTATGTGCGCGGCAGCAACAGGATTAATTCGTACACATCAGAACGAAATTACACGCGCGGCTAGTACGATAACACTTAATTAAGTGGTTCTCCTCGCGCGCGTGTTTCGGATTTCTCACGCTAATATACAGGGACAATACCATTACAGGCAACGCGCAAGAATGGCACACGGCCGATGAGAGAGGCTTAGACGTGCAGAAAGCGAAGATGTTGCCTATGCACGCAATATGCATATTGAGAAACGGCATAAGAGCTCGTTCTATATGCTCGTGTGTTTGTTGGCCGTATATCAAACTGTGCCTCCGACGTCTCAACCCTTTTTCTCTTACCCTTTCAACCCACACTGTCATCTCTGGCAAGGATCCTTATATTACGCCCACATCGTTTACTTACAACATGACCTTACTAGCTCTGTCGATGAGTGTGGAAATCATCAAAAGAAAGAAGATATTTTCCACAAATGGAATATTAAAATGAAAAATATTTGTCGAATCCAAATGTGAATCATTAGTCATTTTATTATATAATATATTAATTCTTTGTCCTGTTTTTCGACACATAAAAATAAATATTAAGTAATATTTGGAACGGATTTTAATCATTTTTAATATTTAATAGTTTAATCTCATTCAAGATTATCAATAATAAACAATAAATATTAAATAATTTTCGAGATTAGTTTTAATTGAATCTCCACGTAAATGGATCCATTTATAGTAGATACTTTCAAAAATTTTTTTGCATTAAATATAATATGTCTTCCAATTATTCTGATATTAATTAATCTATTCTTATGTCTAAATTTTCTTCAAATCTTAAATTGTTTAACATAAAGAATTTTAAACAAATTTTAAAACTTGAGAATGAAGAAATTTAAATTGAATGAAAAAAGTATAATAGATATATCAGATAAATAATATTTTCAAATTGGATAATAATATTTTCAACATTTTATCCTGTTAAATCTATCAATGAAATAAATTTTTTTACAAAACTTAATAAATGCTATAAATTCGCTTTTACGATGTAGACATGAGGAACGAACGAAATTCTGCAGACGATGACCTGTCACGTGTAAAAGTGTAAGAAGTCAATGGCGATCAATTTTTTATTATCATCATACAGGGAAGAAAAAATTGAGAATGTTTTATACTATTATCGACAAATCCCGTTTTTATTGTTTCCTTTCTGTACCTTTCTCTTGCCTATCTTCGTGGCATATAACTTTTTCTTGTTAAAATATTGATAGAAGGTTATTTCATTATTTGCACAAATAGCGCAAAACTTTCAATCTGTTTTATATTTTCTCGATATAAACTCGATCAATCCGTCATTCGGTTGAGAACAGTTATGATTATGCGATATTTTCTACAATTCTGCGACTACATAAATGTGTGTCAATTCCAACAAACTCAATTTCTGCCGGGAATGGAAAACTAATTCGCAAATATACTCGAAATAAATTTCAAATTTATATTTGTCATATTTATATGAATATTGCATTAGATTTATATGAATATTGAATTAGAAATTCAAATTCAAATTATGTTCCTTATTTTTTTACTTTTAGGATATCTATTAACTTTCCTAAAAATTAGCATTCTTCAGAAAAGATCAATATAGTAAATTCTATAATTTTTTTTTTTGTTAAGCCGTAACGATTGATATAGATACATATTTAAAACTGCATGATATATAAAATTAAACAAAAGAACAAGAATTTCAATGTTCTTATCTGACTTTCAAGTAATTTCAAAAACTTTGCAGACACGTCACACAAATTTTTTCATCCACTTAAAGTTCGTAGAATTTGCGGTTGTCGCAAATAAGTGGTAATAAGGGGGATTCTGTTGAATCTATATAGTTAATCGTAGTATGCGAGGGTTTATCCAGATGTTATATATATATATATAAAATCCTTAGAGCCGAAGTTCGAAATTGATTTTGGTCATGTCGGATTGTATTTCAGTGCGCTTAAGCGCTGAATTCAGCGAAACACAGCATTGAAATAGCTTTATCAGCCTAAATGAATTTAGAAGAGAGAACATGCATCCTAATAATACATAATGTTATAGATTCTACATTTGTTCACTAAAATTTTCCTTTCGATTAGAATAAAATTTTTTAATTAAAAAGAAAATTTTTGTAAGTCACATATACATTTCTCTTAGTGTGCGATGATATTGTAGAGACCAAAATAAAAAATTATCTCTCTATATTAAAATTATTATATATATTATATTATATACATAAATACTGAAGATTTTATAGTTAATAAACATTCTATTTAATTATCTTAAAGCTTGTTATTTCCTAAATTATTATCTTCTATATAAAAGTGGAAATATCAATGATCGAACAACAATTTGCAAAGCTAAATTCCTAAATTACAAGCACTCGCATACGCATTAGATTCGCTAACAACGTGACATTGTTACCCCAACAATTGGTGCAATTACCGCTCGCGTTTACAGCGAGCGTGGGCGTTAATTATTTTCCTAGACCCTGACGTTGTAGCTTCAACTACACTAGCGAATACGTATGAATTCTGCTGTGGAGAGAACATTGGGGGAAACTGTGCGAGTTACATTGCTGTGAAACATATAAACTGCGTTTCTCTTTAAAACGAGTCGAGCGGCGCCGACGTGCGACACGTGTACAGCTCGGTGTATTCCTATCTCAATGACGCAAATCCTACCCACGAAGACAAGAGATATCTGCGGAAATTGCGGCGTAATATTGCTTTTCGCATACGTACTTCGTTCTTAGCCCACATCCCTTTGTTGCAGCGCGTGGATTTGGCATGAGGGTGGTAGGCGGCAAGACTGGGTCGGACGGGCGCACCTTCGCGTGCATCGTATGGACTGTGCCGGGTGGTCCCGCCGAGAAAGCGGGCTTACAACAAGGTGATAAGGTACGTTATTAATATATATTCAATTGTATATTCAATTAACATTTTTTAAAGATATTATTATAACAAGATTATCTTTCATACAAATTCTAAAAATAATCTTAAAAGTTGCCTACCGGATCTTTAGACTTTACTCTCTAAATTTGAATCAGTGAATAATCACTGATATCAGTGTCAAGTATGCCACTGTGTAATCAGTGAATTAAATGTGAGATCCCTAATCTTTATTGTGTGATCTAACTAATCTTATTTTAGTGCTTAAATTCAATGAATATGGTATTGGAAGATTGAAATTAACGTGCAAATATCAGTATTTTAATTCAATAAATAAAGTATCAGTATTTTAGTTATATAATCAAATATTCTTCCTTTTTTATAATAGTTGAATTTCACTAATTATCAGTGCATAGCATGCCATTGGGTAATTAGTGACTATCCACATCTGATTCAGATTTAGAGAGTAAAGGTAACCAAGAAATTCATGAATGAATTTCATTGATTGATTTATTGGTAACCTTTAATCTTTAGGTAATTATATATTGTGAAAATGAGCTTAAATAGGCAAATAATATTCAGAAAACCTTAAACAAATTTTATCTCTAAAATTACATTATTAAGTAAAAGAAAGTCGCCGATATTGATATAGGTCTCCTAAAAACACATTCTCTTATTTCTCGATATAAACTGAATATTGTACTTTATTAATCTTTAGTATAGTATACATGATTTTGTATACATTCATGTTTTGCACATTTTTTATCTTCGAAAAATTAGAAGCATTAAATAATTAATTATAACTTTTATATACAATTTTTTTAAATACACTATCTTACAAATACTTTCTAAAAATGTTAAAATATATGTAAAAATCACTTAATTTTTGTTTTTTATTTTTTTAAATAATGAAAATTAATCCGAAATAAAAATGGCCCATCTATGTATATATTTAAAGGATCGGAAAATCATGTGTATTATATTAAATTTTAATATTAATAAAAACATGAAATGTTTTCCAGCAACGTATACAGGCGACACTGTATAATACAATGTATGATTCTATATTTTCCAATAATAACACAAGATACAGATATCGTATATAGCTAAAATATTACATTCGATTGTGTTATCGTTTTATATCACTTCATATACCAAATTACATTTCATTTATTTTTCTAGAATTGAGATGCTCTGATAAGAGATTTCAAGATTACCTACATTCAGATATATTCAGACATAGATGTATGAGACTCTTTTTTTTTATTTCTTTGGGATGAAATAACTATGGGGATGGAATAAATAAAACTTTATTATTTAATAGCAACATTTCAGCTGCAAGTCGACACGCATTACTGTGTCACAATGTATGACTATGTTCCGTTGCTGGAAAGTTTTACTTCGTTCAAAATCATTATGATCTGTTTTTATAATACAATAATCGTCTCCAATACTGTAGCAATTTTATCAACTTATGCAAGGTAATGCTATTAAGCAATAAAACGTTAAGCAATAAATGCTCGAGAAAATATTACGTGGAATATTACGTATAGTACGGATATAGAAAATATTTTTTCCCACGAGATGTTTATCGTTACCTATCAGGGTATATACGATAAATGCAAGTAAATATCCCTCGATGCATCAATTTTAATTAAATTTAAAGTTGAAGTACTGACAGCTAAGTAAAGAGTCCTGTTCACTTACATATTCATACTAACATTAAAATTGATAAATTTTATTTAATAAACGGCAATACTAATAGCACATTATGCATTAATTTGTAATCAATATTATTATAATTCACGTAATAAATATTCTAAACATCTCGCTTATTAACATATCCACCATACATATTTATTGCTAAATGATTATCAATATTTTGCATTATTAAAAAAAAAGATCTTTTTTTTAACGTTTTCAGAAAAAGACAGAATTTAAATTTAAAAGTAAAATTCCAAATCCTTGAGTTCTGCTAAAGTTATAAAAATTCCAGGCAATGTATTCATTCAGGCAATGTAAAATTCAAGACGAAATGTTAGAAAATAAATAATTTAAATGCCTTGCTACCCAGATGTCATTCAAATGTCAGGCTGAACGAAAAGGCGAGAAGTACAGTCTTTTCAACCCTCTATCCGCCTCTCAAGTGTCATCACGTACAAAGAGTCGGCATAGATAGATAGATAGACGGGTGATTGATCGATCGGAGAGAACGATGAAAAGACGTCCCTCGTTCCTGTTTACTGTCATTTTCATAAAGATTCCTCCATATGACGCTTATCATCGATAAGTTTCCTTCTAGCAACAATCTCCCCCTCAGCAACAATATCTAATAAGGAACGTGCAGATATCACGCAATCGCATTATTCTTCGGAAAGTATAAAGGGGTATACTTGCTTCATCTCAAATTTTCTTTTATCAGACAAATATCAAATTGGAAACAAAAAAATCGTGAGATCTTACTGCAACGAGGGAATGAAAAATGTGAACATTATGACAAGAATGACGTATTTGTTAATTTAGCGATAGCGAAACAAAAATCTGCGACACGATGCCTTCGTTGTGTCCCACAAATTCAGTAATGCTTTGTTTAATCCGCTTACATCCGTCGCTTGTAAAATTGGAACACGCAAACTCTCTCGACAAGATCCATTCGAATAACGACTAATTCGCTACTGTCAAATTCTGAAATAGACAGCTGTAAACTAGAACATAATTTCGACAATTATGCCCCGTCTATTTCTACTGTCATATCCCAATCATGTGACGATTAAATTTCTTCATTTAGAATGATAATTGATGTCATGTGGTCAAAAGTAATTTTGTCAATATTCAATAGTCAATATTCAGATTATCCAAACATTCAATTATTGCTGTTATTAGATAATTATGAATGTAATTATTACAGTTTGATACCAATTAACTTTAACTTGAATGACAGCAAGATAATGCCTACGTCTTATAACTTATTATAACTTATAGTACACTAACAATGAAAAATTTTTAACTATAAGTATTTGTAACTATTTGTAAATTATCATGATTGATTATTATTGCTGTAATGTTAGTAATAATAATTACATATAACTGCTATCACAAATATATATTATATAATTGGTAATCCGAAAATGACTATAATTACAGTTCTTATTATTGTGGTTGAAAATGGTTGAAATTATTATAATTTAACTATAATTTATAGTCCACACACACACACACACACACACACACACACACACACACACACACACACACACACACACACACACACACACACACTTTTAGACCAACCATATTTTGTACAGTCGGTTACCAGTTATATGTATTTGTGGATAGAATTATACATATAGTTATTATTATTAACATTATAGCATAATCATAATTATAGTAATTGTGATAAAAAATAATATTAAAAATTCTTCTCTTAATATATCAATAATATAATTAAAAATTGTTTGTTTTATTTTACATCATTTCCAAAAAAAGGAAGAATTATTAAGTAATGCGTGCTTAAATCACTTTCATCATTTCACGTGGAAGTAGATACATAAAATACAGAATAAAGATGTGATTTATGAAAGCAATTTCCTGTAATAATCGTCGAAAATAGTACCATGACAGAAAAAAATCTTCGCAAAAATTTTCTCTCAATATATATTATTATAACCAGCTCAATCTAGATTCTTTTACCTTCGAATATCTATTTGTCATCCTATGCATGCAAACTTATTGTTAGCATGTTTACAACAGAAAATGAATAAATTATCGATTTGACAATAGAATAGAAATATTCAATTTAGTAAAACAAAGAGATAAAGTTTCCAACGCGAAAACAAGAAATCTTTTTTTATTTATCTTGTGATAGAGTTTTATCAAGCGGTCCTACAAAATTTCGTGGAATTTAATAAGAACGGGTATCTGTCGCAAACATATACATGTATATAGCGTTCATGGTTTAAAATTATCTTTTTCTTTCACAGTGCTTTCCTTCTTTTAATCTTTTCCCTACGATCTCCTTAAATTCCAAGGACAATTAATTGGCTAATTATATTTGGTTTCTTCCTGCCAAGTGAAACCTCTTGAAAATCAGTCGCCGAGATCACGTTTCAACCAAATTCCAGACAAGTGAGATTTATTGCAAGTAAGATTATATATATATATATATA